GACAGGGTGGGGGTTGCCCCTGGCAGCTGTGCCACTCACTCCCTCTGAGCTGGGAGTGGTGGCATGGCGACCTGGAAGCCTCCTCCTCTTATTTTTTTTTTAAATGAATAGTTTCTTTCCATGTTCTGCATTCTTGTGATACAGCTAGCCATGATTTTCTCCACCTATCTTCAAGGCCTTTCAGTTTTTGAAGTGCCCTCCCTGCAACAAACTGTGGTTAGTGCCTAACCCAAGGAATATCTTTGCTCCCACTGCTAGATGGGAAGTGGAATCAGCCCTCTTATCTCTGCTGGTTGTAGGCTCCTGGGCAGGGGCTCAAGTGGACTGTGAGACTCAATATTGACTGTCACAGGATCTGGTTGCTCCCTTCTCTCCCCAGGGGTTGTCCTCTTTCAGGATCAAGTTATTGATTAGCCCTCTCTTCCACTGCCCTGTGCCAAGGTGAAGCAAAGTGTAGAGCTGGCTTAGAGTTGGTGGGTGGCTGTGTCCTTGCTTTAGGAGGCATGCCCTGTGTCAGAAGCCAAGCTGCTTGCCTGTGTCAGGGGCACTTGCTTGTGTTGGAGGAGGGCCTACTTGCTTGTGTTGGGAGGTGATGCACATCACCATAGGCTTCCTTGCTCAAAAGGAGCAGGGGCTGCCACTAGGAGTTTCACATTCTTGTAGAACTTCACGGTTTATATAGAACTTTCACAAGGCAAAGATTATGAGCATTTAACAGATAAAGAAGTAGAAACTCAGTAAATCTCCATGATTACATATGTTCTAAAGAAGAGCTGGGTCCTTCTCCTCTGCAGCACTAGGCTAGCAGGTGTAAGGGCTCCTTAGGTCATTTCCAACATCCCCAGCTCCTACAAAATGGGCAGCTGACACTGTAAGCACCCTGGATCAGATACAAATGCAGAAGCTCCTGTTCTAAAATGAATGTCTGGCATATCAAAGCCATTGGGAGTCACTGCCCCTCCTCTTCAGGGTCTGCTTACTGGCCTTTTGAATAGGCACCATGAGGAGGAGGTGTCTAATGGGCACTGAGTGGACTAGAGTATTTGGGTGACCAAAATTCAAAGCTGTGTACATTGTATTGGAATCTTTTTTTTATTTGTTTTTTGGAAGCCCCTTGAACTTAATTACAAATTAAGCTTATCTCTTCCTATGTTTGGTCACTTCATGGGTAGAAGGTGTCATTACCCTCTCCTAATTTTACAGACAGCTACTCTCAAGGGTTAATTTTAAAATGACTATTATTCTCTGTGGTCTGAACACATGCACACACACAATACTGGACACAAGGAGGCCCTTGGGGATGCCTATGGATGGCTGTATCTGAGGTCAGGGGAAAGACAGCATCCTTGCTTCACTTCCATTAGCCTAGTCTACTGGCTTCTCTGTGTATCCGGGTGATGCCAGGAAGCTGTCACCTCTTCAACCACTGGGCCAGGTCCTTGACCAGCCTCTGAGCCAGTCATATGCCTGGTGCTGTTCCCAGTCTGCAGGTGCTGCCTCGAATAGGGTGGGCAGGAAGTACATGGCCAGGCACAGCATCTGCAGGGAGTTGGCTCACAGGTCCTGCCCTTCCTTAGATACCAGAAAAGTTGTACTTGACCCAGGCTTGCCCAGAGTCCTCTGGGATTGATGCTGACTTGTCCTTGGGAAAAACTTTCATGCCTCTCCTTCCTATTCCCCACTTTAGAGCCCAGAAGGCTGCACTGTGTGGTATATCATTTGAAAGTCCTGACAAAGGGAAGATGGTCTGGATGTGAGGTTTCTATGCCAGGTATAATTTGTATCTGATGAAGGATGTAAAGCAGAAAGCTTGCTGGATGGGAGAGCATGGTGCATCTTCAATGAGCACATTAGGTCTCTCAAACTAAGTACTTCATAAATGGGGCTGGTAATGATTCTTTCACTATTGTTGATCTTGATGAATATTTCATTGGTTTTAGGCTGCAAGACTCCTAAGCTGCTGCTCCTCTTCCTTCTCTTTCTCCATCTTTTTATTCTTATTCTTCTTTCTCATCTGCCATGCTAGGGATCAAACCCAGGACCTTGTTCATACTAACCAAGCACAGTACCACTAAGCCACACCCCAGCCATTAAGCTTTTACTGATTCACTCTGTGGTAACCATGGGAAAGTTCTTTAGGCAGTGAGGAAGGAGGGATAGATGAGGTCTCAGGAAGGGACTTTAATTTATCCATGGACTAGAGCACTACAGTGTCATCTGAAAAACATAGGCCTGTTGGCCAGGCTCAGGCTATCTGTAACTCAGATATCATCTGGGATTGCATAGTGTGGGCTCCAGATGAAATGAGCTTGAATTCTCCCAAAGCCCTGCCTAAGATTTCTGGGGACACTTAGGGGAAGACATCCATGTGGATATTTTGCTTCCTGGAACTGCTTTTAGGAGAGCTGTCTCAGCACCATCACATCCGTCCAGAAATGAAACTCAGCCTTCCACCATTTTCCACTTTCATATGCTGTGATTCATGCACTACGTCTTACTGGTGCTTCGGAGTGGTAGGGAGAAGAATTAAAGATGGATGCGACTTCACTTTGCAGCAACCAAGTAGCTTCAAATTGCCCACTAACATTGCTAGAATCCTTCTGCTGTGGCCACTGCGGGGTCATAGTGGTTCCGTGCCCCAAACCCTCTCACTGGCCCCTCTCCTCTACTTTTCCCCTAGGAAGAAAACAACCGGGACCTTCCAAGTCGCCTGTACAACAGGGCAGCCCTTGCCTTGGTCAGCATGGCTTGTGCTGACACACAGAACTTTGGTCTCACCATCTCTCACAAGCAGTTTATCCATGTCCAGTCATTTACCATTTACACAGATGCGCGCACACACACACACACACACACACACACACACACACACAACCTTGCTGCCTGGCTCCAGTCATTCAGTGGCTTGAGGGTGGACTGCTGACCTGACTACTCTTTATCTATCATTTTTCCTCAACCAGAAGAGCCATGGCCTTACTGTCTTTTGCTGATCTTTATCTCACGGATTGAGCTCCTGCTCTGTGCTGGGCATGAGGAATACCAAGGAAAGTGGACAATGACAAAGAGCACGTGGAGCCAGAAAGGGGTATTTGTGAAGTGAGCTCAGAGGATTCATAGAGGAGAAGACAGGATAGAATGGTAGAGGGAGCGATGTGGACACAGACACAGAGGCATGGACACCCCTGATGCGTTAAGCTGGCCCTGTGACTGTAACCTTCAGAGAAAGGACACAGCTGGAAAGTTAAACTAGAGCTGGCAGCCTGCTAGAAGTTCAAGCAGTAGCAACTATTTACCAAGCCCCAAATTGGAGCTTATGGCAGCAAAGGGAGAGAGCCATTGGGAGTGGTCATCGTGCCCAGGATGGATCTGTGGCCTCAGGAGCAACTGGAGCCAACAGAGGCAGAGGCTCATACCCAGAGGAGTGAAGTGCTAAGGCTGTGCTGGAGGATGATCTGTCTAACCATAGTGCAGAGGCCTGGAGGGTGGGAGACTGGAGGCTACAAGGAAGAGGCTGATGCCAAGGTCCAGAGAGAGGAGGGAGGGACATAGGGGTGAGGGTGCTTGTCTAGAGCTGCCTCAGAGGCAGGAAGTGGGGGGATGTAGAGCCGCTGGGTGCCATCACCTCTGTGCTTCATGACAAACAGGAGTATCCTGGGGTCATGGGAAGCATTTCTATGCAGTCTGCCCAAGGCCAGTGCCAGTGAGGGGGCTCCACAGGCCAAGTTCCCCACATGTCACCCCAAGTCCCTGTTCCTGCCTCCTGGGTAGGGATGGGGCAAGTCAGCAGATACTGCCCTTTTCTTTCCCTTACCTTGTCCCTGCCTATAATATGCATCTCAATTTCCACACACCTGGTTTAGGAGTCTGCACCTGTCTTGTAATGTGTATGGACTTTGCACTTCAGAAGAGATACTGGTTGAAGCTGTGGATTTACCTACATCATCCAAGAGGAATTCCCTGAATGGAAAACAGTACTAGTGGCTGATGACAAGTCTGTAAAAGTGTGTGTAAAGATAATAAGGATAGGAAAAGTTCCTAAGGGTATGCAAATAAGGTGAAGCTTTGAGCTCAAAGTCATTTCTCTATGAGTGTTACATATAGACATAAATATATTTCCAATGTTCCCACATGTATACATGCTTGTATGCACCCACATGACTATGCATGTACACACATGTGTGTATAAGTACATCTAGTTATGTACACAATACATGCGTGCATATATATACATGTATGAAGTATGATAGAAATATAATATTAATGCTTCATTTAAAGGATTTATTACAGTAAAAGACATATTGTTATTAATCTTCTTTAAAATATTCCCCTTTGCTTCAAACACACTTATTCTCAGCACTTTCTGAAGTAGTTCTTGAAGTCCTCTTTCATGAGTGCACTGCCATGGCTGCCTCCACGTCCTGAATTAATTCAAATCATTCACCTTTAGTGGTGACTTTGACTTTGGGAAAGAGCCAAAAGTTGCATGGGGCCAGATCCAGTGACAAAGGTAGATGAAGACACACTGTAAGGTTTTGAAGAGCCTGCCTATCCATTGGATGGCTCGTAGCAGCGACATTCTCTGTAGCGTTCTCACACCTCATGCAGACGCTCACAAAAGAAGACTTCCAGTATTGCTTCAGAGTGTGGCAAGAATGAGGGGATGAGTGTGTTTGAAGTGAAGGGAGTATTTTAAGGGGCACTAATGTCCATATGTGTTGTACTTAATAAATTTTGAAAATTTCAACATTAACTTTATGCTTTGATCACTCTTTGTGTATAATGGGCCTACATACACATTTCCTATATGCATACTTAGTTCATAAGGGGTGAGATGTCACCCGAAAAGCTAGAAGGTCCTGGGGCTCTGTACCTGATAGACATTCATTAATGTTCACTGAAGAAGAACAAACCTCTGCTGTGTCATTCATGTTTTTAATGTTGGCTATTGCTCTTGGGAGTTAATGTTTGAACCTGTCCATAAAGAAATCCATAGCCACTGACCTATGATCCATATTTGGAGAGCAAGAAGCCCCTATAAAAATGCCACCAGTGGGCAGCCCGGCCCGCAGACCCGGGCCAGCTGCGTAGAGAGAGCCTCATTGCCACCATGAACTTCTCTGGAAAGTACCAACTGCAGAGCCAGGAGAACTTCGAGCCCTTCATGAAGGCAATGGGTGAGTGCTAGACAGGCCATCACACATGTCAGTACGGTGAAGGTCTGGCTCTACTGGCAGTGGCTAGTCTGTATCAGCTGTTAGAAAGGGACAGGAAGTGCATGCTTCACCACAGTAGAGGACCTTTTACTTACTTTGCTGATCTTACCACTTGGGCTATTACTTAGGGAACAAGGCCATCAAGAGCCAAAAGGAAAGAACACTGACCTAGGGTGTGATCTGGATTGAAGCCCACATCTATTGGTACTTCTTTGATTGATTCTGTTGACTCATTCATATATATACCAGTGCATTCATTCATTCTTCTAACAAGTATTGATTCAAGGACAACTACACTTCAAGCACTGTGCTGGATACATAGAACTGAGATACATAATGAAGAGCCACATTTCCAAGGTAATAATTTAGAGAGAGAAGAGAAGAAATAAATGTAACAAAGTAACCCTTAACATGTAGGAGGGGTGACTCTGTACCAGGCATTGGGTAAACAATTGCTAAGCAATGCCCCATTTAATCCTCTCCCAAAAATCTCTGACTTGGGAACAATTATCTTCTCATTTTACTTTTGAGGCTGAGAAATGTATGTTGCCATAATCAAGATCACATGGCAGGAAGAGTCTGAGTTGGGGTAAGAAGCAGGCACTGCTTCCCAGGGACCTCGCTTTAACACTGCCCCCTGCACCGGGTCTCCCACAGTGCAGGGTGTGGAGGGAGGGGAAGGGGGGAGGTGGTGGTGAAGGGGAGCCTGGGAAGAGGAGCAGTGCCCACTAGGGGGCTGGGGAGGGGAGGGTGTGCCAGGCAGAGGGAGCCCTGTGAGCAGAGGGAGCAGTGAGGCAAGGAGGGTGTGGAGAGGGCGAAGAGCACGGAAACAGCAAGGGCAGGGAAGGAAGAACTTCAGGGGTGCCTCAGAGCTGAGGTCTTCTGTAAGCCTGTCACCCCGCTTCTGTCTTTCAAGTTCCTTATCTATACAGCAGGACCCAGCAGTCTTGCTGTCAGAACATCTCATGAGGATCCATTCTTACAAAAGCCCAAGTTAGCCTGCAAAACTATGCTTTGTACATGTTGTTGGCCCTAATTATTAGTAGCTCCTCATGTCATTTCAGGAGTGACCGGGATTGGAAGAGAAACTCTCTGATCACCCTGAGTGTGGAAAGTGACACACTTTAACTCTCACAGCAAGCCATAAAAAAAAAAGGAGGGAGCAAGGGAGCGAAGGGAGAGAGAAGCAGGGAGTCCACAGGGGAAGAAAGGCTCAAGATTGTGGTACCCAGGCTACGGCCTCTCCTTTCCTATCCGAGGCTACAGCTCTTGCTGCTCACAGGTCCCCAGTGTCTGTGGCCTCTGCCCATCCATGTCAGTTTCCCTTGTCTTCCTCGACCTTGAAACCCCCACCCCCGTTGTCTCTAAACCTCAGATGGTTTCCACCAGGGCTGCCCGAAGACCTCATCCAGAAGGGAAAGGACATCAAGGCAGTGTCAGAAATTGTACAGAATGGGAAGAACTTCAAAATCACCGTGAGCACTGGGAACAAAGTGACCAAAAATGAGTTCACCCTGGGGCAAGAGAGTGATATGGAGACCATGACTGGAGAGAAGGTCAAGGTAGGAGGCTCCCCTTTCAACAAGCTCTGCTTCTAGAATATTTCCTGGAGCCAGGCCCCAGGGCTTCCTGACTCACAGAATCCTATGCCTCCCAGTTCCCATCCTAGATACCCCATTTCTAATCCCATCTCTTGGGTGTAAGAACCAGAGAACTCATAGGGAAGCGGCTGTCATTTTCCCTGGGCCTCAACATCAGTGCTGTGGGCTCCAAACCTGAAGCCTCCTATATGACTATGTGGAGGGAACCAGGCACACAGCATGATTCCCACTCTCAGTTTCTCTTTGGCCAGGATCCTGGCTCTCAAAGTCCCCTCAACAGGGCATACCATAGTAGGGTCAGTGAAATTCCTTAACTCAGCCCAAATCACTCTGGGCTTAGCAGAGCCCAGAGCAGGTGGTAATAGGGACAGAGGTCTCCGAAGCGCTGCTGGAAACACCAGAATCTCCAGGCCCAGGCAGACACTCAGACCACACCTTGGGGTGGCCACTAAGCTGACCGCCTTGGCTACCTCATCTGTGCACAGGAGAAGTCAGCCTGTCAGACTGAGGGCAGTGGGCAGGGTGGCTTCATCCCCACAGGTCTGGAGCTCCAGGGCACAATGACACCTAGGACCTGACCTCTGCTCCTCCCCATGATGCACTGCACACGCCACTGTAGCCAGCTCCACCCAGCAACCGTCTTCCTGCTCCCCACATGACTCTGTGCATTGGGCTCAGCAAGCTCTCTCTTCAGCGCTTCCCATTGCTCTTTATTTCTGCCTCTCCAGATACAATGTCAGAGACTGAGGCAAATCTCAGGACTTTCTTAGCTATACCCATGGGAAGGGGCAGCCACTGTGGGTTCTACCACAGGCCTTTTCCAGCTGTCCATGTGGAAGGAAATGTTTAACCCTGGCAGTGTCCTCCTCTCCTTGTTGGATTTCCATGTTTGCTCCTCCTGGATGTCTAAGGCTTGGAAAAGAGAGCATACAGGAACCATGAATGTTCCCGGGAGGACCCATGCAGAGCAGAGCAAAGTGTGTGCAGGGTTCTGAATTCTGACACTGCCTCCTCCATTAGCTTGGAGAATTGAGACTTTATTGCTTCTATTTCAGCATTTGTCCTGGGGACCACTCAGGTGTCCTGTGTGCTTTTATAGATCACACACCATGGGTTGAAGTTCTGACAGAAGACATCCTGAGGTTTTCTTTCTGTCTTCTGTGCCCCTCTCTTCTGTCAGAACTGAGGGTTGGGAGCACTGGGACCAGAGGTGTTGTAAGCTGACACCTGCACAGGGGAACTGACTCATCAGTGAAGGTCTCACTCTCCACAGACCCTTCCTCACAGGCCTCTCTGTGCCCCACAGGTGGTGGTCAACATGGAAGGTGACAACAAGCTCGTGACAACTTTCAAAAACATCAAGTCTGTGACTGAACTCAGTGGGGACACACTGACCAGCGTAAGTGGGGGCTCTGAGCTTGTGACTCTGGTGCTGGAGGGAGGAGGAGGTGAAGGGTGAGAAGCAGCTGCACCCCTCACGCCATGCCTATTTTCCTCCCCTGAGCCCCAAATTCTCTGCCTTTCTGTATCTCCTCCCACTTCATTCAGGTTCCCTTATGTGTCAGGAAGTTTACATAGCATCTCTAAGCTTCCCAACAGTAGTTTTCAAAAGAAGAAACTGAGGCAACAAACAGCCATGAAACGGCAGAGCCAGGGTGGATTAATGACAATGTGTCTTTTACTGTAATAATTTTTTTGTTTGATGTAAGCATTCATTATATTTTTCTATCACATCTTGTATATCACTTTGTAGCAGTCCTGTCTAACCAAACCAGTGCAGCATAACCAGCTGAGCTGGGTTAGCCTCTCAGGGCTGCCATCCACAGATGTCCCCATGGGAGGTGATTCATACTTCAGACCATGTAGGTTTCTGTATTTACATTGTGTTTTCTTTAAATTTGGAGTATATTTACATTTTAAAAATATTTATTTCAGTAAGAACATTGTTATAATTCTTCAAAAAATACTCTCCCTTCTTTGGATCAGACTCATCTCAAGTTCTTGCCACTTTCTGAAGTGACTCTGGAAGGCTTCTTTTGAATGTCTTTGGATGTGTTATCATGACTTCCATGCCCTAAATTGATTCAAAACCTTTACTTTTTATGATAATTTTGACTTTGGAAAGAGAAGTCATATGGTACCAGATCCAGTGAATAGCGTGGATGAGGACGAACCATAGAGTTTTCACAAGACTGCTTTTCCATCGGATGGCAGTAGGCAATGACATTTATTGTATATTTTTATCACAACTCTTAAAAACATCCGTGAAATAGGACTCTGAGAACTGGTTTAGAAAGGGGCAAAATGATGGGATAAGTGTGTCCAAAGTTGGAGGGGTTTGAGGTGGATTAATCACAATGTATCTTCTACTATAATAATTTTTTTGTTTGATGTAAACATTCACTCTTTTTCTATCACACCTCATATACCACCTTGTAGCCATCCTGTCTAACCAAAGCAGTGTGGCATAACCAGGTCATTTTCCAACAGATAGAACAGCAGGATCTTGAGGGACACTCTTTTCTAACTCACCAAAGCCACCATGTGAGCTGACATCCACCCGCCTGGTGTCCCCACCTCCCTCAGGCTGTCCTTCCCCTGCCAGCCCCTCCCACCCTCCTTCCTTCCTCCTAACTGCCCACCCCCACCTCCTCTCCCTTGTTTCCTGATGCCATGGAGTAAGAGAGGAGTTTGGAAGGAAAAGCACAGGGACATGCAGAACAACCAGCACAGCTCATATTTTCTGTCTTCACTTAGACAAAGCTAAGAGTAGAGGGCACAAATCCATTCAATCTACAGATGTCCCCTCTTGTGAGCCTCACTGGGTCACAGAGGAGCCATTCTCGTGAATGCAGAGCCCACACACAAGAAATATCAGGCTCTTTCATTGCTTCTGTGCCATCACAGTAATTAATAGCCACAATCCTTCCTTCTACCTCAGCACTAACCACAAGCCCCAGGGGCCTCCAGCTGCCCTATCAGCCCCAGGGGCCTAATACATGCCTTTGCCCATTTGGCATTAAAAGGATTATATTTGTGGCAAATGCCTGGCCCCTATGAGTGCTACACTCCAGGTCTGCAGTTGTCAGTGCTCGGCTGTTGGCCAGGTCTGATCCCATTTTGGAAGGGATTTGCAGAATTTTTCCTGCAGTTGTTTTCCCCTTTCTCTTCTTTGCTCCCAAAGCTTGCTTTAGGAAGTCACAGAAGGCAGAAGGCAGCCCAAGGAGGCTGTGGTCACCAGGTTCACGTGAGAATATCCCTTAGGCAGTGACAATGTGAGCATCAACTGTGAAATACGCAGTCCCTGTGCCCACACCGGCAGCTTCCCAGCAGGACAGGGGAGCAGGAGATGAGGTGTCCAGGAGGAGACCTGGCCAACATCCTCTGATAGCTTCACTTTGCCTAATCCTCCTGTCTCCTGTGAGGTAGGCAGGTCAAGGGGTCAGTAATCAGGTCAACCTATCCAAGGTCTTCCAGGTGATGATATGAGTAGTAAAGCTAGAGCTCCAGTCTCGTCAGTGGCAGCCACCCTATTGCTACTGAAGCTAAGGGGCCTCTTTGTTACCTGATGATAGGACATCAAATGGCAGCTGTCTTGTTCAAGAGAACTAAGATGAGGAGGGAGCATCCCTCAAGGAGCCCAAAGCTGATGCAGCCAGTGTTTTCACTTGCTTCATTCACAGCTTTTAGAAAGAAAACAAGGTAGTGCCCATGATGTGCCAGTCCAGTTGCCTGGTGTTCCATGCACACATGTCCTTGGTGCTCAACTTGGTTTTGATACATAGCAGGTGCTCAGTAGAACTTTGAGATATTGGATTGGATTGGATTTTATAAGTTTGGGTGATCTTGTTATCACATCCATTGATGTAGAAAGGTAGTCAGCAAATAGCACAACTCTCCATGAAAGAAAGCACAATGACATAGGCATAAGGCTTTAAAAAAATTGTCAGCCCTTCCTCTGGTCCTTGAGGAATCATTGATTTGAAGAATCATTGAGTTGTTTTATGTGTTACTATATTTGGGGCTACTTGGGGGCTTAATAATTTATTTTTATTGTTTATCACCAGATGATCATTTCATGATTTCTTTTGTCCTTCAGACCATGACAATGGGTGACATTGTGTTCAAGAGAATCAGCAAGAGAATTTAGACAAGTTTGCATTTCCTATACTTATACTGTGTAAAATTAATGTAATAAAGTGAACTCTGCTTTAAGAAAACATTTTTTTGTGTGTGAGGACTTTTTGGTATTGTGAGCTCTGATCATCTACATTTTTGTATACATCGGTGACCCCCATGTTCTCCTCAACCGGGTCTAATCTGATTTTCATTCTTAGCCTGAATATAGAACCTAAGCTGCCTGTCCATGACAGGAAGGCTAATTGTGCCTAGATCTGTAGGGTGGCCCTGACATGCTCTTCCCAGGCAGCTGCATAGATAATGAGGTGGAGGAAGAGGGCGTACGGTGGGCTGGCCATTACAGTGGGCTGGCCATTGTGGTGGCTTCCCACAGGGACAGGGACCAGGAACCCTAGGCAGGCAAGGGACAGATGTGCCCTTGAGGACAGCCACAGTCCCCCTCCCCACCAGTGAACAGGCACAGGGGCTCAGGCACTGACCCACCAAAGAATACTTCCTCCTATGGGAGGGCTGAGTGAAGGGCCTAGTGAGAGGAACGAGACTTGGACAGAAGCAGCTTGGATGGAAACTCCTTCCACCCTACAGGCAGAGACAGCATGTGGGAGAAAGGCAGAAAGTCCTTGAACACTGTCTTTAATAGGCAACTCACAAAGTGAAGTATGTTTATATTCACAGTATTAAGAATGAAGGATGTAATGAGGAACCCAAAATAAAAATCAACTGGTAAACAGTCAAAATACTAATAACACCCAAGGTTTGTAAGGACATGATGAATGGCTCCATCTTCTTGGAGAGATGTAAACTGGTGAAGCCCTGATGGATGCAGCACCATTGGGCAGCATCCCTTAATATTTTCAATGTGAAGTCCTTAACACCTAGCAATGCCACCATTGTATATCTCCCTAAAGAAGTGTTCATACACAAACACAAAAAAGAACATAAAGAGTATGATGACCTGGAAATGGAAACAAACATTCTTTGACAAACATTTTGGTACAGCCAAGCTCTGAAATAATCTACAATGAATAAAAAAATAAGTAAATAATGAGTAAATAACTAAATAAGTAGACCTAAATGTGCCAATATAGAAATATCTGTAAGGTAAATCATATTATTAAAAAAGCAAATGGGCCAAGGAGTTAGCTCAGTGGTTTCGCCACCTGCCTCCCAAGTGCAAGGTCCCGAGTAAGATCCCTGGTACCAAAAATAAAAAATAAAAATAAAAATAAATGAATAAAAAGCAAATTTCAGAGCAATATTTTTTAAAATGTTATTTATTTATTTTTTCCCTAAGTTCTTTTATTGGTACATTTTAGGTAGACAATATGTTTACATTTATCATTGGGTGTTTGTACCTGTACATGATGTATCTTGATTCTTATTTTTTCCCCATTACCTGTGCACCCTTCACTCCCTCCACCCTTCCCTATTTACATAGACATCATTTCCATTATTTTTTCTTTTCTCATAATTTTTCTTTT